AACCAGGAAAAAACTGAACTCCTAAATAGACCAGTCACGAGTAGTGAGATTGAATCAGTAATTTAAAAAAAAAAAATCTCCCAAAAACAAAAAAAAAAAGCGCAGGACCAGATGGATTCACAGCCAAATTCTAGCAGATTTACAAACAGGTACCAATCCTATTGAAACTGTTTCAAAAGTTCAAGAAGGAGAGAATTCCCACCTAACTCATTATACAAAGCCAGTATCGCCCCAATACCAAAGCCAGGAAAGGATGCAATCAAAAAAGCATTCGTCCTAAGAACTGGAACAAGACAAGGATGCCCACTGTCACCACTTCTATTCCACACAGTACTGGAAGTCTTCGCCAGAGCAATCAGGCAAGAGTAAGGGCATCCAAACTGGACAAGAGATCAAATTATCCCTGGTTGCTGGTGATACGATCTTATACCTAGAAAACCCTAAGGACTACTCCAAAGGACTCCTAGATTAATGAATTCAGCAAAGTCTCAGGTTATAAAATCAATAGCATTTCTATACACCAACAACAACCAAGCTGACAACCAAATCAAGAACTCAATTCCATTTACAATAGCTGCAAAAAAATTAAAATACCTAAGAATTTAACCGAGGAAGTGAAAGATCTCTACAAGAACTACAAATCACTGATGAAAGAAATTGTAGAAGATACAAACAAATGGAAAAATATCTCATGCTCAAGGACTGGAAGAATCAATATTGTTAAAATGACCATATTGCCCAATGTGATTTACAGATTCAATGCAATTCCCATCGAAATACTAATGTCATTTTTCACAGAATTGGAAAAAAAATTCTAAAATTCATATGGAACCAAAAAAGAGCCCAAATAGCCAAAGCAATCCGAAGCAAAAGGAACAAAAATGGAAGCATCACATTACGTGATTTCAAATTATACTACAAGTCTATAGTAACCAAAACAGCATGGTACTGGCATAAAAGTAGACATACAGATTAATGGGACAGAATAGAGAAGCCAGAAATAAAACCAAATACCTACAACCAACTGATCTTTGACAAAGCAGGCAAAAACATACACTGGGGAAAGGACACAATAATCAATAAATGGTGCTGGGGAAACTGGATAGCCACATGTAGAAGAAAGAAACTGGATCCCTATCTCTCACCATATACAAAAATTAACTCAAGATGGATCAAAGACTTAAATGTAAGACCCGAAACAACAAAAATCCTAGAAGAAAACCTCGGAAAAACTATTCTGGACATTGGCCTAGACATAAAATTTGTGACTGAGACCGCAAATGCAATAAAAACAAAAACAGACAAATGGGACTTAATTAAACTAAAATGCTGTGCACAGCAAAAGAAGCAATCAGAAAAGTGCAGAGACAAACTATGGAATGGGAAACAATATTCACTAACTACATGTCTAACAAAGGATTAATACCCAGAATCTACAAGGAACTCAATCCAGAAAGAATAAAACAAACAACCCAAAGTGGCAAATGACATGAACAGGCATTTTCCAAAAGACAGACAAATGGCCAAGAAACATATGAAAAAATGCTTAATGTCACTAATCATCAGGGAAATGCAAATTAAAACAACAATAAAATACCATCTTAACTCCAATTAGAACAGCCACTATTAAAAGTTACAAAACAATAGATGTTGGTGTGGATGTGGTGAAAAGAGAATACTTACACACTGTTGGTAAGAATATAAATTAGTACAACCTCTACAGAGATCAGTATGGAGATTTCTCAAAGAACTAAAAGTAGACTATCATTCGATCCTGCCATCCTACTACTGCGGATCTGCCCAGAGGAAAAGAAAGTATAGAAAAAAGATTCCTGCACTTTTATGTTTACTGCAGCACACTTCACAATTGGAAAGATGTGGAATCAACCTAACTGCCCAACAACTGATCTCTCTGCCCCTTACTTTCTTCGCATATGAAACGTGTTTTTAAAAAGCGCCAAGGAGTTCATGCTGGAAAAGCACTTACCATGAGGCCTGGCGTGCAGTTCACTGTAAGTGCTAATGATTATTATCAGATTATAATAAAACTATCCAAGACTCTCTTCAGAACCTAGACATATGACAAAATATCTGTATCACTGCTAGAATTTCCTCAAACCAAGGCAGATCTGCTAATAGCTTTAAGTAAGGTTAAAAAAAAAAAAAAAAGATGTTGAAGAGTTAAGTAATATCGTAGTCACAGAGCACTAACTTGACATCTAACCAACTGAAGATCATCAGAAGCAACCTACTCCCTGTTGATACAGAATCTATGAGAAATGTTCAAGTTATGTATTCATGATCCTTTGAGGACAGAATCACTTCTAATTTATTCTAGTCCCTCTTCCACTTCTGACTCTTTTTAATTCAAGACATGGTATTTTTTACAAATCTATCTAGAAAATTATAAATTATATGTACCTACCAAGAAATCCTTGATTTTGGCAACTATACAGAATTTAAGATGCAACACAAGTATTCAGTTAAGTTTTCTACAATTTTAATTCATTAATTAGATCACTGTCTAGTGTTTTTTTTATCTCTGCCCTTAAATGCAGATATATAGCATTCTATACTTGCAAAAATCTTAACATATCCACTTAATTTAAAAATTCTAAAGCAAAATCAATTTAGTTTATCTAGCACTATGCAAACCATATAATTTGCTCTTAAATTTAACTGATTTTCTGAAATGCGAGTGTGCAGAAAAGGTCAATGTGCACCCAGTGTAACTGCTGCGCGCTGCCACCTTTCCACCTGAGGATTTCCAGGGTGGCTGTGTATGGTTAAAATACACGTGCTTGAATTTTACCTGTCTATTAGGATTAGAAGACTACACAGCAAAAAAATTTTAAAGGAAAAATATAAAGGCAACTTAAGAATTGTTTTCAAAGATGTAAGCCCAACAAAATGAACACCACATGACCCGCCGCTTTGCACTGGCGCCTCCTGCTCAGACAGGCCTGTGAGTACATCCCTTGACCCAGCCTTTCCCATCACAGGCTCTCTCTCTGCCTAACTCCCTGCCTTCCTGGCCTCTAAGCTTGCTCCTCAAACTCCTGCAATCTGGCCTCCACCCTCAACTCTGAACCCTCTGCTGTAACAGAGTCACTCTGTAGGGTCCCCAAAACTCCTAATTGCCAAACCCAATTGCCCACGTGTAGTTTCGATTCCACATCCTCACCTCTGCAGCACGAGACGCTCCTGACGCTTTCTTCTCATTCCTGAGACCCACCTCCTTGGGCTCTTGCTGGGATAAGTCTTTCCTCATTCTCCCACCTCCTCGGCCACCGCGGATCTCTCAGTACACTGTTTCTTAAGTCTCCATCCCACAAATCTTCTACTCACACATACAACAGGGTGACTTCCAAATGTCTGCCTCCTGCCAGGAATGGGACTTGAGGTCCCTATTTCACTACGTGACCGCGTCAAAGGTGCCACCTACTCAACTCACCGGAAACAGCACTCAGTTCACTGTCCTCCCTAGAAAACATTCCCTCCTCCTCCGGCTGATGGCAAATGCCATCCCCAGTGCTCAAGAAGGAACTTCACCTCTACAGAAAGACTTAATATTAGTTTCACTTCTGAAGCATTTCCTGAATTTGCTTCTTCCTATTTCACTGCCTTTTTCCTAATTCCAGGTCTTTTGTCTTTTACCTGAGTTTCTGCAATAGCCACTTTAAATCCACTCTCTGCAGTTGTTTCAAAAAACAAATTTCTCATCACATCACACCCCTGCTTAAAAATATCCAATGCCACCTCAACGAGTACAAAAATCAAGTTCTAAATTCTTTCATAATATACATGATGCCCTTTGTGTTCTGACCTAATCTGCCATATCCCCGTTGGGGGAACTGGGGTGAGATGGCCAGGAGGCTAACTCAAATGGCCAAGGCCAGGGAGGTCGTCTGTGGGTGAACACAAGCCAGTGTCTGAGAAGATGAGCCTTCACAAATGTACCTAAGCTCAAATGGGACTCATGCAAGGCCACGCAAAAACTGGAGATGAGCGAGTTGGGATGTGGAAAGGGCCACAGCCAACAGAAGCAAGCAGAGAGTCCAGAGGTGGGTAGAGGTGGGCGGCAGGTGACAAAGGCTCATGCTCCAGGAAGAGCCCTGGCTGGCCAGCCAACATCCCCGCCCTCCAGGTATCACCCTAGCAGCTCAGCTGCTGCCCAGGCCTGAGCTCTGCATCAGACCAGGAGCTGGCAGCCTCCCCAAAGAGCTACACAACCACAACAAATGAAAGATGGCGATGCTTACAATGCCGACAACAATAAAAGATTTGTGGGTGAGGCCGTAAGTTTGGTTTCCAACTTGGTGAGATGCCTTTAAGCATTCATGTGGACATGGACCTTGTCTGGAAAACAGGGATGATGTCTTCAGAGGCTCAGACGAGACACACAACGCACCTGGCACAGGACCTCACCCACGACAGGTGCTTGATGCACAGTGCCCCGCCCCCGGCAAGTCTCCCAAGGCCTGTGATGCTCTCAGACCTAAGTCCACACGTAGTGCGGCATCAGCAACCTTCACAATCTGGTTGTGACTGTCTGCCCTTTCCATTTTCCCTTCCTGCTCCTTCCCTCAAACCCCACGCGCCAGCCTGACTGCTCTTCCCGTGCCCCAGATGACAGCGCTTCTGCAACCCCAAGACTTTGCCTGTTCAAAGCAAATTCTGGCCCCCATTAAGGTCTGACTCCAATTCTACCTCTTTGGGAAACTTCTCCCTGTATGCTAACCCACGATCTTGAGCAGGTCCCTTGAGTTCCGACATCTCTTTTCTGTAATACTCACGTGACGATATCACAAGTAGGTTATGACATGAGTTTTTACATACATGATACCATTCTTCCCAACTAGACTCACAGATTCCTCCTGCTCTGTGTCCTCCCACAGTGCCTCAACCACTGAAGGCAGTCGACAAATATTCACTAATGAATTCATCAACAGATATTTTCAATCATGACATACTAGATTTGGGTGGGCACATCCACGTACCTTTAAGATTTCAGTGTCTGAAACCATGGTTACTTGTTGCTTTATTTCAGGCCCCATATTCACAGGGTCTTCCTGTTCCATTTTAGGGTGTGTACAAGTAGAAGCTTCTAGGTTAAATTCAGAGTCTGTTGCTATAGGTAATTTTTGCTGGATTTCAGGGCATGTACACATGGAAACTTCTTGCTTGGATACAGGATCTGCATATAATGGTTCTTCTTGCTTGGATTCAGGATTTGTGCACATAGGAACTTCTTGCTTAGATTGAGGATCTGTACACATGAGAACTTCTTGCCTGCATTCAGGGTCTGTACACATGGGAACTTCTTGCCTGGATTCAGGGTCTGTACACATGGAAACATCTTGCTGGGATTCAGGGTCTGTACATGTGGGAACGTCTTGCTGGGATTCAGGGTCTGAACTCACGGTTATTACTTGTTTGTCCAAAGTTATTATACCTTTGGGCTTCTGGAAAAACCATGGAGATTTCTGTCCTGGCAAAAGATATGATGCCACTCCTTTATAAAAAAGAGCTTTGTTTGGTCCCAAAGGTAATATATCTTCTAATTTTTTCTCACCTTGATGCAAGTGAAGAACTTTAGATATATGATCTGACACAGCTAAGATAACGTTGCCTTTTTTGTCAAAGTTTTCTTTTATAGAGGTATAGGAAGATAAGCACTTATACCGAAAGCTTTCAAACATGCCCTCTGGGACTATGTCGTTGCCAAGCAGGCAGGCCAGCAGAGGAAGGTCTGCCAGGTGGAGGCCCAGGCTCTCACAGAGTTTCTCTCTACAGAGCATGACAGTGTCCAGGCTCTCTAGACAGAGCTCGCTAATAGAAAAGTAGGGGCAAGTGTCATAGATTAAGTAATCCGTGTCTTCCCCAAGAATCCCAAGACAGTTCTGCTGCAGACCATAGGAAGCGACCTCGTAGTCTGCCTCCCGCAATGAGCAAAAAGTCTCCTGACCCAGGGCCTTCAGGGCAAATCGTGTGAACAGGGCTAGACCCGAGGGGATGAAGAACATGTTTCTGCCAGGCTGCTGCCTGTGCGACTTGATATGATGAAAAATTCTGCTGATCTCCTTGCTGTTCTTCAGTCTTCGCCTCACCCACTCATCCCGCTTACCCTGCTCCACCGTGCCATCAAAGAAGAACACCAGCCTGATGCCCACGGTTGTGAAGGTTTTAACAAAGTCTCGCAAAGCAGAAAAGTATTCTCGCCACTGGCCACCGCAGACCCAAGATTCCGGAGTGTACCAGTACCTGAGACAACACATGGCATCCACCACCACAGTGGGAGCACACCCGGGATGCCGGCTTCGGTGGTGCGCTGCCAGGTCTTTCAAGTTTACCACTGTACACACGTGTGGGCAGGAACTTCCCACAAATCCTTGCAAACCTCTTACACCCATAGCTGAACTCTGGGAAAGATCTGGAAAGAAAAATAGATTAGTAATTAGTGACTATGGAATTATCACTATACAGATGGCATCTTTCAAAGCAAACACAAGACAACATTTAATATTCATTCTCTATTTCCAAAAAACACTTGTCATCAAGGTGACATGATATGCTGGTTAGGAGCCTAAAGAGTTTTCAACTAAAACACATGAGGACTTTACCTAAATCTAACTTAATAACTTTAGGTGGACTTTCACAAGGCCAATATAGTGTTACCATCTTTTAAGATTTTCACTAAGGTTACTATTCAAGATGTTTCTCAACCAAATTCAAAAAGAGGTTAACAGTTTTCAAAAAAGTAGTATTTCTCATTTAGAAGTAGGAACTCAAATAGAAATTATGGTTAAAAATCTAAAACATAAATTGAAACTCGCAACACGGATGATTCTCAAAATCATCTTGCTGAATAAAAGAAGCCAGACAAGAAGAGCACACGCTATGATTCAACTCCCATCAGATTCTAGCCCACCGAGCCTTCAGCTAACCTGCAGTGACAGAAAGCAGATCCGTGGTTGGCTGCGATGGGGCTGACGGAGGGATTACCAAGGGGACACTTTTGGGGTGACAGATATGTGCACTACTGTGTGGTAAAACTCATCAAATTGTACACTGTAAAAATGTGTCAAATATATCTCAATAAAGGTGTTTAAAAAGCTACATAAAAATTTACTATACCCAACATTGTAACATATGAGATACTGATGACGTTAAATGGAAAACTGACCGTTCTAAAATTTAGAAATAGAAACAAAGTAGTTCAAGAGTTAGAATTTAGAATTTGGAAAAATGTACAAGCAGAATACTTTCAACATATAATAAGATATTCTTATACATAAGACATAATATAAGGCTTTCTTCAAGTAGGCAGTAATATCCATCAATGTTCAAGAAAAATACTATCATGACATTTTTTAATCTTAATGGTCTATTTTTTCCACTATAGTTTTAAGTGCTATCAGGGCTGCATGTCCTCTAATAAAACAGAACAAAAAGTTCTTATTATGCAAACACCAACACAGAACAAATGACGCCTCCCCTAGACTTAGGACCGAGGGCAGCAGTGGTGTCTCGCGAGTGACTGAGTACAACATCCTAACATCTCTCATGCTACGACATACTGTATTTGCCAGCTGCCAGACAAAGCTGGGCATTCACCATACAAAATCTTCAATCTTTGAAACAACCCTGACAAGTAAAAGCTATAAGCTCTATTTTACAAAAGAAGAAACAGTGAATACATCACTAGGTTGAGAAGAGGCACCCTGACAGGACTATCTTTGAAGGATTTACTGATTTAAATGGATACTAGCTCCCAAGAGAATTTAAAGTTATGTTTAATAGCCATTAATAATAAAAATATGCAAAAATTTAGTGTTCATAAAAAGCACACATTTTATATGTTGAAATTTGGAGAAGTCTTGCTCATTAAGCTATTAAATATAATGCAATGCATGAACACACACACACCAGATCACTATTACAGGGCTATTACTCAAATAGAGTTCATCCTGGAAACACAGTCAAGGTATTTCAGTTTTTGAAGAAAAAATAATATGATTATCTCAACTATAAGGTGGTTCTGCATTCTGGACCTCTGGGCATGGATACTAAGTCCAGGAAGGTTACACTCTCATTTCTGATGTGATTCCAACACAGTAGGCAGGGGACAGGCTTTGGAAAGGGAATACAAGGACACAAAGAAAGCTGGTCAGAAAGCATTAAAAAAAATGCACTTATATTTCACAATCTCAAGACTTGTTCTACGCCTATCCTTGATGAAGCGTGCTGTGCAAGGTTTGCTGGTGATGAGCCAACCAAAAGTAAACCTCACAAACCTGGACTCTGACTTGGTTTCCATATTGTGAAAGACTCCGCTGCTCTCACCAAGCTCTGTGAGAGGGTGTGGAGGGCCCAACAGAGCCCACGGCCAGCCCCCACGGATTCCTTCCTCCTCCGCAGGCCTACCGGGGTCAGAAGCCAGCAGCAGATGGGGCTGCCAGGCTCTGGCAGCTCCCGGTTCCTGGCTGCGTTGCTCAAGACATGTAAGAAGCCACATGCCCACACACAGAGATAAGGCCAGGGGAGGAAGCAAAGCAAACTCTCCTCCACTCCCACTTCCAGGCAGATGCGGCCCCCCTCGAGCAGCAGCCTCTGTCACATTTGGGTGGGCTGCCTTCCCTTGCCAATGAAAAGGGATTTCTATTTCAAGTATTTTCTATTATAACTGCAAGTGACAATACTGAATTTCTCAAAATATTCTCCTCTTTATTTTGAAAAAGTCAGGCTCAGTACTCTGATTTTATTCAAATGTTTTTCCTTCTTTCTCATCCAGTATTGAAAAGCCCACTATTTTAATTAAGCAGACACTGGTTCTTCCTGTCTTTCATACTGCCAATTTCTCACATTTTGAATCACAAATTACCACAGGAATGTTACATTACGATGTGCTCTCCTACAGCATTCACAAAGAAAAATGGGGGTAGGCAGGGATTTGGGAACTTGTGACATTTGAGGGTGCCTCCCAGCATTTCAGCGCCTTTAAAGCGTTAAATATTTATAACACTCACTTTTGCTGCAGTTAGTGTGGTATGGAATAAATTCTCTAGAAAGACAGAAAACTGTGTGGATATTACAATTTGTTAAACCTTTTCTTTCTTTCTGTACAGGTAGTTATTATAGGATAGCCGAGGGGAGGGGAAATGTGTGTGTGTGTGTGTATAAAATTCATTCTACCTGCAAATTACACAGGAAATTTTCATTATCTAGGTAATTGTAGTTAAAAAGAAACAGAAGTTCTGTCTCACCAAGTAGGAGTCTTATTGCCCCAGTACAGTCCGGGATGCTCTGGGAGCCACTACCATTAAGACGAGCCTCGCCATTCTGCCATAGCCTAGCACCCCGTACGGCTACCACCTGACAGGCCCAGTTAAGTACCTGAATGAATAAATGAATGAATCAACGATGTATCAGAGAAATCGGGAACTGACAAGTTTACAGAATTAAACGGTGGCCAAAGAAACAGTGCAGAGTAGAATCACTGCCCTCAAGCAGCTTACAAAGAAAGGGTCTGGACAACAATCTCCAGAGCAGGAAACAGGCAAGGAGCTGCCTGCAGGCATGAGGCACAGCTGGAAGCCACCTCACCCCTAGGGGTGGCTTGAGTCTCCTCTGACAGCCTGACCAGTCCCAACATATTGGGTTACCAGGGGAAGTGGAAAGAAAGAGGAAAGGGAAAATACAGAAGCTTCTGTACTTGCACTCTTTCAGCTTACAAAAATGAGGAGTGGCGGGCCTCAGCGGAAACATACCAACCCCGACACTGACAGATGCTCCAGGCAGTGCAGACCACTCTGGACACAGGGACAATGGACTCCTGGCCAGCCCAAGGGCACCTTCCAAGTAGAGAGCAGCCTCTGCAGGACAACCAGTACCTGGCAGCTGAGACCTGATGCTTTAGAGGGTCTCTGTGCAGGGCTCATTCAACAGCTGAGCTTCCCAGGAATTCTCAACTACTGACAAAGACTCTCCTGACCACACTTTGGTTAGGCCCCCAAACCCTCTTCTCCACCAGGCCTCAGTCTTGGGCTTTTAGCAAGAATCCTGCTAAGATAGTTTAAAAAGAATTCCCCACCCTTGATATCTGATGCCCCTGCCCTTGGTATCTCCTCTTAGAAATTTCCTATCCACTCACCCCTTCATCCTGCTCGCTGGTGACAAATCCTATCTGCCTTCGCTGTATTTGGAGTTGAGACCGATCTCTCTCCTCCATTGCAACAGTCTTAAATAAAATCTTTCTTACCATTTTGACAAGTGTCAGACTCTCCCTTAGCCCTGGCCTATTCAAGCAAGAAATGGAAAGTCTACAGCCCTCATTACGTACTTGGTGCGTCCAGGCACAGAGTCCAGACTCCGTGCCCTGGAGGAGCCCCCGGAACTGTCTGGCCAGGACCACTGGTGCCCGCTGATGTCAAGACACTCCCTTTTAGCTACATCACAGGGAAAAATGAGAACATGAAGGGCACTACAGTATTGCTGATAAAAGGAAAGGCTCCCACACAACACAGAACTGAGTGTAAATTCTAATTGCCACTTAATAACTGTGAAACCTTAGGCAAGTTACTTCGTTCTATAAGCTTACATTCTTCATCTGCAAAGTGAGGTTTATGAAACCTATCTCATCAATTGTTGTGGTACAGTTTTGTTATAA